ATGGTTTATCATCTGATCCTTGGCGAGGAATCGACAATCCAGTACATCTCGCCGAGTGGTCCAGATGAGGTAGGGGGTCTCATTCCGAACCATGCGGGACTGGAGGAAAGGGGAGGAGATGGAGACAGGGAGGCCAACGGGGATAGCTTCTCCTTGCCCTGCTGCACAGAGGGGAGGGATTGTTCAAGGTGCCCTCTGGACTCGCCCATCTCTGAATAAGGCATGGGAAGACATTTGCTCTAGAGGGTATGCTGGGTGAGCAAACAGCAGGTAGAGTTTCCAGCCTCCACTTGGCAGTGACTAAGCTGCACACCACACCTTGCTCTGTGACCATCAGTGATTGTCCCAGAGAAAAGACAGTGACTCCCATCAATGAGCACACAACATGGACAGAGGCTCTCCATGGACACAACCTTTTCATTCTCCCTACAGCTCTGGGACACAGGATAATTATTGGCCAGCAACACTATAATAGGCTCTAATCTTTATTTTTAGAGACAGACTCCTGCTATGTAGTCCACACACACCTCAAACTCACTAAGTAGTCCAGGCTACCTTCTAACTCATGGTCTCCTTGCTTCAGCCTCCCAAGCACTGGATTGCAGAAGTGTACCACTCTGTGGGGGCCGGGAGGGGGGGGCTTGAAATTGCTACCTCTGAATATTGGGTCAGGCATGGTGGCCACATCCAGCACTCGGGAGGCAGAGGCTGGTGGGTCTCTGAGTTTGAAGCCAACCTGTTCAAGATAGGGAGTTCCAGGACAGTCAGTGCTACACAGAGGATCCCCTTCTCGGGGAGGGGGAGTGTAAGACAGAGAAAAGCTTCATGCTGACAATTTCGTGTTGTTTTTTGGTGAGTTAAAGTCTCTGTGGCCACGCTTGTAGGTGTCTGTCACTCTGTTTTTCTCATCTGAGGAATGCACTAACCCTACCTTAGAGGGCTTGAGTGAGAACTGAATGAACTCGCACAGAAAACACTTAGAACGAGGGGCAAAATGAGTGTGCTGGTGCTTGCCTGTTTTTTTTTTTTGTTTTGTTTTGTTTTGTTTGTTGTTTATTTTTTGGTTTTTCTAGACAGGGCTTCTCTGTGTAGCCATGGCTATCCTGGAACTCTCTCTGTAGTCCAGGCTGGCCTCGAAATCCCAGAGATCCATCTGCCTCTGCTTCCTGAGTACTGGGATTAAAGGAGTGTGCCATCACTGCCTGGCATAGTGTTTGCCTGTAACTCTAGCACTCAGGAGGCTGAGGAACTTGAGTTCAAGGTCAGCCAGAACTCAGATGCATAGTGTAGCCTTGGCTGTCCTGGAGCACACTCTGTAGACCAGACTGACCTTGAACTCAGAGATACATCTGCCTCTGCCTCATGAGTGTTGGGATTAAGGGTGAGTGCCACTGCCTGGCTGGAAGGAGAATCTGAAGGAGCGATTATTTAGATCAGGTTGGTCTGGGGGCACTGTATTCATAGCACTAACTGAGGTGGAAGACCCAGATCCGAATGGGTGGTGCTACCCCGTGGGCTTGGGTCCTGGACTGCATGCAAGGAGAGGAGGAGAGCTGAGTGGAGAGCAGAGCTCACATTCGTTTCTCTGCTCGACCGTGGAGGTGATGTGACTAGCTGTTTGAAGGTCTTCACCTTGACTTCTCTGCTAGGACTGGCTGTAATCTGGAACTAGGAGTTAAACTTTCTATGCCAAGTAGCTTTCTGTCAGGGTATTTTATTATAGAAACAGAAATGAAGTAATTGAAGGCAGCCAGATGGACTCAGCACACATGGTGCCAAGACCCAAGACCTGAGCCGATCCCCAGAACACATGGTGGAATGAAGAGTATCAAGCTCAGAAAGTTGTCCTCTGACCTTCGCATATGTATGTGGCATGTGCAGGCCCATAACCACATACATACATGTCATGCACAGAGAAAAATGGGATGGGGTTAAAATAAAGAAAGGGAAATGGCAATTTCATATAGTTCACGGGTGGGGTCAAGCTCTGAGCTCACTTCTCTCTTCACCACCCGTGCCCTCCACACCAGCACATCAGCTTCTCTCAAGTTTTGGTGTGCATGTTGCTGTGTGTGCGCACATGTGGAGACCAGAGTACAATCTTGGGTCCCATCAGGAGCCATCCATCTTGGTTTTTTTTTTTTTTTTTTTTTTTAAAGATGTATTTGTTTTTATTCCATGCATATGGGTATTTTGCCTGTAAGTATGTCTGTGTAACCAAATTCATGCAGTACCCAAAGAGGCCAGGAGAGGGTGTCAGACCCCTTGGAACTGGAGTTACAGACTGTTAAGACCCATCATGTGGGTGCTGGGAATTAAACGTCTGGAAGAGCAGCCAGTACTATTTTTGTTTTGTTTTGTTTTGTATTTTGAGACAGGGTTTCTCTGTGTAGCTTTGGAGCCTATCCTGACACTCGCTCTGGAGACCTGGCTGGCCTTGAACTCACAGAGATCTGCTGCCTCTGCCTCTCAAGTGCTGGGATTAAAGGCATTCACCACCATTGTCAAGCTGATACACCTGGATTCTGAGATTTGAACCCAGGCCCTCACTCACTTTATTGAAGGACAAATCACCTTTGCTCGTCTCTTGACACCTTTGTTTACCAAGTGCAAAGGAAAGAGCTAGGCGAAGCATTCTGTACTTGGCAGGGAGAGCCACCAGAGACAGCATGAGTAGAGGGTGTGGTCACCTTATCAACCCTACCAAGTCCCTCAGCACTCTTCAGATCTAGTCAATCTTTACAGAGGCATCTGGTTTCCCAGACTGGAAGTTGGGGTTCAGAGAAGGAAGGACATTCAACTGAGCAGAAGCCTCCTGCCAGCCCCCTGCTTTGTACTGACCCCCAGAGTCCTCACCATCAGAGAATGTACCCCATCCAGGTCATCGAATTCCAGAAAACCATCGAAGTCCAACAGCTGTGGCTCCCGAAACTCATCATTCTCATCTTCATCCTCTGTGAACGTGGAGGATGAATCCAGGGGACTGTGCCTGTGCCCCACAGCCCCTTAAGGTCTTAACCCTGGACCAGTGGGAAGCAACAGAAAAGGACTCATCGGGAAGGACATCTTGTGCACAAGGAGGGACCTACTCACCATCATCTGTGGCATCACTATCACCCATCATTGAACTGTCTAGATCCTTCTGGGGCATGGGCAGGATGGTGCCTTGGGGTTGGACCATCTTCTTTTCTACCCAGCCCCTCTGTCGCAATAGACACCGGATCACTGGGTATCGGCCATGGATCATAAAAATCTTCTTCTGCTGTAAGGTGAGAGGCAGGGGCTTGCTTCAGCATCAGACAGATAGAAGGCAATAGTGAACCAGACAGGGGCTCTGTCTTCGGGGGAGTTTTATATCCCAGGAGGAGGCAGCTTATAAACAAGGAGAAAATCAACACAAATAGCTGCTAGTTACTATGTCCCTGTTATGTGGTAAGCACTCACATGCACCACTGAGAACAATTTGCATTTTAATTACATACTGAAGGCACATAGGGGCTAAACAGTTTCTCCAATATTACACGGTAGTTAAGAGACAGAGCAAGGGTTTCTTCCTTTCTGTTTGGTGCCCAGGGCTTTGTAGATGCTAAGCATACATTCTATCACTGGCATTCCCAGTCTCAAGAGTAATATATGGTCCTGGCAAACTGGGAAGGAGCCATGAATGCAGAGCTGAACAAGCAGAGTAGGGTAGCATGTGCAAAGGTCCAGAGCCTATAGAGAAGTCAGAAGGAACTGAGACAACAGGCAGAGTGAAGTCTGAAAAATGAGAACTCCCGAGAAGTCACTGAGTGTGACTGGACTGTGGAGAGCCCCATGGACCTTAAACTTTCTCACCTTACATTTTATAATGAGAGGAATGAGTCAAGAGGGTAAGGAACTAAAGGCGGCTGGCTCTGTAAGTTTGCATGCAGCTGCCTGGAGAACCAGTGGTGGAGGGGCAGGCAGAGGCGGATCCTTAGGTGGATGCCACGGTCTAAACAACTGCAATAGTTAGAATGAGGGTGGTAACGTGGAAACCGGGAAGGAGGTGCTAGCTTGAGACTCATTTTGGAGGTGCGGGTGAGTTTGCTGATGGATGGAACTGGAAGAATGGATTTCTGGTTTCTGAAATAAATGATGGGGAAAACTGGATACCGGGGAGGATGACAGATTTGGGCGATTGAACAGGAATAAAGTTTGGGATGTAAGTGTGAGATGCTGGTGAGATCTTTGGCTGTTGACATCCAACAGAGGGCTGGATCTCTAGGGTTGAGGCGCAGGGAAAAGGTAGTGCAGGGCACGGTGCATGAAGAGGGACCCAAGGAATCACAAACATCTGGGGACTATTCAGAGGCAGAGGCCAGGGAGTATAAGCCAGGGAAACTAGGAGTGTGGAGCCAGACAGCCAGCTAGCCAGCCATTCAGCCCAGGGTGGAGTGTGGAACTCCTTTGTGATACACAGTGCCCCAGCAGAATGAAGGCAGTTAAGGGCTGCAGAATGTGACTCCTTACTGGATTCCAGGGCACTAGATGGGAGTAATTTCTAATGAGAATGGGATAGAAGGGCTGGGAATCAGAGCCCAGTGAGCTGAAGAATGCATCCCTAGGTAGAGACTGTTCTGCCAAGACTATGGGCCCGAAGAGAATGGGGGGGGGGCACTTACAGATGCGGGTGTGTATGTGTATAAGGTCTTTGACATTTATGGGTTTATTTTTTAAGGATATGAGAAACTAGTAAATGTAGTCACCACCGACCTTGATGGCTCTCTCTACGTGGATTTTGGCGTTTCTGAGTCGGCCCACGTGATGAGGTCCCTTGGAGAATCCTCGCCAAAGGACAAGGGAATCTGTAGAGAGAAGCAGGGCAGTAACACAGAAAGTGGGGGCTTGGTTCAGGGACTTCTCTGAATCCGGGTGCCCGCACTTCCGTGCCCCTACCCTGTATCCGGACGCCCAATCTCCAGAGCTCTTCAGATTCCCCATTCCTTCCACCCTCCCCAGCGCTCCCGGCAGCTGCCAGGCTGGCCGCCCTCGCTGCGCCTCACCATCAGGCGGTGGCGGGACATCAGGCAAGGATTCAGCCAGGATCGGGGGGAGCAGGGAGCAGACGGGGCAGGGGGGAGCAGTGTCCTGGGCACCCAGCTCGAACTCGAGGGCGCTGCTTAGGTGGCTCAGAGGCAATGAGTTGTAATCCCCATGACTGCCACCGCAGGGCGCCCCCTCGGGCCTGGAGGAGGCGGGCCCGAGCCATTGCTGCCTCCCTGACAGACCAAACTCGGAGCTGCATGCCCAGGGCCACTGGGAAGGGGAATTAGTGTGGAGCTCGGGTGGCTGCGGCCTCCGATGCCAGCTGCACTTTGAGCCGCCCTCCTGGCAGTACCAGGCGGCTGCAGGCTCCGGGCTCAGGAAAAATGCTGCGCTGAGGCCCTGCATGCGCCTCTCGCCAGGATCGCTCCTAGCACTCCAGTGCTTGTCTCCGCCCAGGAGCCCGGCCGGGCCCCGCCCTCTGTTTCCCGTCTCCCAGGAGACCGTCGCCCAGGCGCAATCAGACTCAGGAGAGCTGCTGTGGGAAATGGAGTTAGGACTTCTTCGTGGTGGTTTTGGCTCTGGGCCTCACTTGCCACACATCCTTGATGAGCCAGGCAATGAGGATGGAAGAACCGAGCCCTGGGATGACCATTACAATTCATTTTTTGTGCCTTGTGTGGCCTACACACTAAGGCCCTGGGATAAGGGCTGTCAAGTCCCTGAGTTTTACAGTGTGTGGAAAACCAAAAATTAGCAAAAGAAACAAAAAGGTGCTGGTTTAGGGGTAGGGAAAAGGAAGTGAGCTGAAACTGGGAAGGGACTTCCTGAAGGTAAGGCAGTTAGGGATGTCCTCTCAGGTGACCACTTAAGCTAAAGGTGTACATGTCAGTCACGTGGGGCCTGGGAGGATTTGGCTGGAGGTCTTTGGGAGTAAGAAAGCCACGCCTGTTTATGGGGTGACAATAAAAGGTTCAGAGCACACACTGCCTCTTCCAAGAACTTGAAAAAGTACAATCATTTTTTATCAACTCAAGAAATGGAAAGAAACAGAGTACTTCATTCTGGCCAAATCTGTAAGTAAGGCTCTATCTTCAGAACTCAGAGAAAATATGTCAGACTTCAAAACAGCACACTACTTTTCTCAAAATCACATAGCATAACCTACTCTAGTACGGTCTGATTCCAAAACCTGTTTTTGTTTGTTTGGTTTTTCGACACAGGGTTTCTCTGTGTAGCTTTGGAGCTTATCCTGGCACTTGCTCTGGAGACCAGGCTGGCCTCGAACTCACAGCGATCTGCCTGCCTCTGCCTCCCGAGTCCTGGGATTAAAGGTGTGTGCCACCAACGTCTGGCTCCAACACCTTTTTTGAGACAGGGTCTCATGTACCCCAGGCAGACTCTCAGCAACTGCACTGCCCCAACACTTGGTTCTGGAATGGAACTCACGACTTCACACATGCTGAACACAGCAGTCTAGAGACTGAGCTACACGCCCAGCCACTTGGGCTTCCAGTGGGAGTGAGAAGTACCAAATACAGTCCGAGAATCCAGCCGTCAAGTCACCAGGCAAGTCTGCCTTGGCAGTGTAGGTCCCCCAGCTACCGGTCTAGCTAAACCCAGAGATTACCCTTCCCATCCCACAAGTGGCTGGGAACTGGACTTCCCAGAAGACAGGGAGGATTGGCTGGCTGGCAATTGCTCTCAGCTGGCAAATCTGGTTTTCGGGACTTTGGACCTTGGGCGATAATCTCCAACACTGGAGTGTTTTGGCTGGCTCACCGGAGCAAGGGTGTTCTTTGAGGATTGAGTGACCGGCCGCCATTCCCTTCTGATATCCAGCTTCACCTTTAACAGTCACTGCAAAGCTAGGACAAAGCCTTGTGCCACTCAGGGTCCAACTAATTCAACAGGGGAGGTCACAGAGGTAGTGTCACAAAGGGATGGTAGCCAATCAAGCTGTCCCCACACCCCTCCTTTCTTTAACACTTACTTGTTCTTCTCAAAAGACCCCTTTGGGGGCTGGTGATGTCGCCTAGAGATAGGCTTGCATATTGTGCTCAAGGACCCGAGGAACAATTCCCACCAACCCTCGGGAAACACCCCTTTGGCCATCCAGAAAGCTCAGCTCTCTCACATACACACCTCTTTATTTTATTTTATTTGAGAAAATATCTTTCTATAGTTCAAGGATGGCCTAGAACTCATAGAGGTCCAGTTTCTAATTTCCAAGTGCTCCACTTACAAGTGTGAGCCAACATACCTGGCTCAAGGCCAACTGTTCTTGAAGCCCCCCCCCCAATACCGTCTCCTGTGAGCATACTTTACCCACTCCCGACCATGAACAGCACTCTTAAATGCCTATTTACCTACCTCACTGTCCCTGGACCCGAGTTCTGTCAAAGTATGACTGGGTGTCAGTGTTGAGGCCCAGTACACACAGTAAGTAGAGGGATCAACTGCTGTTCACCCAGCATCTGTGTGGCAGGGGCAGTTGCTACACAGCTCCCATTGTCTCTACACAGTAGGAGACAGTGAGAGAAAGGACTGCTTAATTCAGGAGGCAGCAAGAAGTCATAGGCACTAACTATCTGATGGAACTTCCTGAGCACTTTTAGAACTGAGTTACCTTTAGCTGTCCAGAGTCACCAAGGGATCTAAGACTTTGAGACAGCATGGAGAGTGATTCCTGCCAGCACAGGCAGAAGTCTCTCTCCCTCTAGCTCACAGGATATAGGAGACTTGGAGCAAGCTATTTTGGATGTGGCACCTGTTTCCTTATCCACAAAGTGAGATCTGGTTTCTGAGGATCTGAGGATGGAATAGAAGCATGATGTGGAAAACATTGCTCCCTCTCTGTCCAGGCAGGGACTACCTTCAGAATAACAGTGCCTGACTGTAGCAAAGGTCTCTGGGTTGGTGCCCTTGGCAGGGATCAATGGCAAAATGGTCTGCTGGACTGCTCCAGACCCAAGTGCCAGTCATTCATGACTCCAAGGAATAAAAATACCTGTTCTTCCACACAGACACAAAGCACAGACCTCATGCAGCCCCAAAGGGGCAGGAAGAGACTTTAATCGGGGGATGGGAGGATTCATCAGAATCAGAGACAGCGAGCGGCAGCAGAGGAGCCAGAGTAGGTGAGACCCAGTGGGGCACTCAAGGACTCACCTCTGCACCTCCAGCACAGGCACGGTACCCAGACAGGCAAGCCTTGGGGCCTCTCAGCTGGGAAGGTGTTGGGGGGAGGATGACTCCTGGTGGCCCTGCAGCCAGAAGTTGCCTGGCTTTTGGACCCCAGCTCCTAGGTCAGCCTGGCAATCATGGATTCAGCCCTTGTTCCCAACCAGTGTGGTAGCCATCTTCAGGCAGAACTCAGGAGGCTAGTAGAGAGTCCTTACCACCTCTACTGGGCCAAGGAGGCTTTGAGTAAGACAGCAAGGAAGAGAAACTGGAGTCTGAAACTTCCCTCTCTCCCCACCTGGGGTGGCATAGGAAAAATAGTCGCCTTCTGGCTCCAGGCCCGCCCAGACCACCGCGACCAATAAGGTACAATCACTGGGGCCAGTCACAGCCACTGGAGGTGCAGGTTGTTTTAAAAACAAAAAACAAAAACCAAAAAGGTTACAGTCTTCTACAAGCACAGAGTTTAGGTTTCAAGACGCTTAAAAAAATGTCTGTCCCAGCCCAGGGGACCAAACATCAGAAGGTAGCCTGACCAGACACGTGTGGCCTTGGGGCAGGTCCACTGCTGCCTTTTTTGCACAGCTAGCAAGCACACCACACCCGACTCCCGCATCCAATGCCCACCCAACCCAGCTTCCTGCTGCTGCTGCTGCTGCTGCACCGCTGCTCCGGGGAGTGACTCCAGGACACCTTCGCAGACACGCAGAGACACAGGGAAGGCCAAGGGGGAAGGCCATGAGATCCAGCCAGATGGTTTAAAACTGTCAAAGAGAATGACAGGCAATGAATGGGGTTACTATATCCTGCCTGATGAGCCTGTTCCAGGTAAGCGAGCTGAGCGGCTGCTGTTCAGGTCTGAGTACAGGGTCAGCTTTCAGCACTTCTTGAGCATACTTTCTTTGCGAACCTCCATGTGGACACTCGGAAACAAACCCTCTCCTCAGAAAGAGCAGCAAGTGCTCTTAACCACCAAGCTGTCCCTACAGCCCACGAGCATGCTCTTAATCTGGCCAGACTTCAGCAGTGATCTAAAGGCACTGGCCTAAAACTTTACAAAACTAGACAAAGCGGAATAAATTAAGTACTGAGGGCTTCTCCATAGCTTGCTTGGTAAGTGAAGCAGCTTCAGGTATGGAGACCCACTGGAGTACTCAGTGAGCCAAGGAGAGAGGCACAAGGTCTGATAGTTTCTTAAACTTTGAGTGACTGTCCAACTAGAACAGGTCTTAGAAGAGCTTACTGCTCTCGGTGGTAGCACATTCACAATCTTATATAAGGAGAGCAGGGGCACAAGGGTCAGGAGGTCAAGGCCATCCTCAGGCACAAAGTGAGTTCAGGGGCAGCCTGGGCTGTTTCCCCTGCCTTCCTTCCAGAAAGATCAAAAGAAAGATGGGACGGGAGGGGAAGAGAAGGAACAGGACAGGAAGAAAATGCTTTTTGCCCTCAGATATGCCCATGGTGCCAAGAACAATCCTGGACACTTATAAACCAGAGACTGTGCAATGACTGAGCACAGCTCAAGGCTGGGTCACATGATGTTCAAAAGCTATGAATCAGTTGCCAGCTTTGAAGACAACAGATGCCACTAACAAATTCAAATTTGGGGATTAACAATTTGTTCTGGCCCAGCTGTATAAGCCTGCAATCCCAGCTACTATAAAGGCTGAGGGGATGACTGCAAATCTGAGGATTCCTGGGACTAAAGGAAAAAAAGCCGGCTGGGGAGAGAGGCCAGCTGTGGGACTTGAGCAGCACGAGCAACACCCTTGGTTTGGTTCAACTCCAAGCCCCAGAAGAAAAGGTGGGACAACGAGGCAGTCAGAGGCTGCAGCTGCCTGGTGGCATCCCTTTCCAGAGACAAATGCTACCATATCTCACACAGCCCACCTCAGTCACTTTCACTACCTGCTTGAGTGACTCTGCAGTATGCCAGATGCTATGGCCTTATTGCTCAAGTCAGAAACCCCACTCTACATTCCCCTTCTTTCAGTTATTAGACACGGGGCAGGCAATGTTACTTCGAGAGCCTTAGCTTACTCTCAAGCAAGATGCTAACACACATCTCAAAGATTTTTTCAGTAGGTTTTATTTTATGTGTGTGTGTGTCTCTCCTTCGGGTATGTCTGTGCACTGTTTGTGTGCCTGATGCCCAGAGACCCAGAGGATTTTAGATCCCCTGAAACTGAAGTTACAGATGGTTTGAGTCACCACACCGGCACTGAGATCCTTACTGTTTTGAAGTTTTTCTTTTTTAAAAATATAAGAAAAAAATTTACAAAAACAAAACCCAAACAAACAGGCAAAGAAAATGTGAGGAACTGGGGGAGATGACTTGGACTAGAGGGCTTTTTGGGTAAGCATGAGAACCTGAGTTTGACTCTCCAGCACTACCATGTGTGTGCCTATAATCCCAGTGCTGTGGGGGCGAGGGTGGGGTGGGGTGCAGGATGGGACAAGCAGAACCTGGGGACTCACTGGCCAGCCAGTCTCACTGAAATAACAGGCTCCAAGTTCAGCAAGAGACCAAAACTATGGTGGAAGGCAATAGAGAAGACATCCAGTGCTGATGTCTGGGTGGCAGCTGCAGACATGTACACCATGCACATATTACATGTGCACGCACAAATAAAATTGTGAAACTAACATGGACTGATGAGGACTTGCAGCTCTTC